CGGGGCGCTGGCGCTCCCCGCGGAGTCAGCCCCGGGGGTGGCGAGCCGACGGCCAGGCCTTTCCCCCCCTCTCCTTCCCCGGCAGGTGGAAAGCGGGATGGTGTTCGGTGTGGAGACCTCCGCCGGCTTTCCCCTGGCAGTGGGAATACTTCGCAGCTGATCCGGGACACGGGGGTCTGGCGGCTGCTGAGGGGCAGCTGGAGCTCTGGTTGCATCTGGCAAAGCCAGACAGGGAGAGGCAGATCCCCTCGGGATAAGCCAAAATCCCATAAACCGTGGGGTGCGGGGGAATGCTAGGGGTGCTAATGTGTTCTCTCAGAGCTGCCGGTACTGTTAAATACCGATGGCAGTCTGTGGATAGATAAGATGGTGTTTTATCGTGAGCTACAATAGCAAACAAAAGAAAAGGCTGCCATCACTACTTCAAACTTGTTCAGCAAGGATCGCTAGACATTTCCTGAATACAATCTGTACTGTGAAATGGTGCGGGAGGTAAGGAAGGATGGGGCATGGCACTGGAGCTGGTGCCTTCAGGAGACGAAGGAAGCAGTGCAGACTTTACTAATAATGTTAAAATACCCGGGAAGGAATCTGCCATTTTCACACTACGAACACATTGTGGCCATTATAGCCCTTGTTTCTGCATCCTGACTGCTGGGGTGCTTTGGCAGTTCCTGAGTACGGTCCACTGTATGAGGGAGGTGTTAATGTAGTTCAGGGACAATTTGCAAATGATTGTCAAGACACAAGTATTAATGCCATTGATACCGTGAGCATCAGTACCCCTTCAATATCAGACTTCTCCGTGCTATTAGCATATCTGGAGCCCACTTCATGAGCTATAAATCAGTCTGCATTAAGTGCAGTCCAGTGTAAAATCTCTGGCAGTTCTCTAAAAAAACAAGACTGGCAGATGCAATTGTAGCTGCCCAGGTGCTAGTAGAGGGAGCATGAAATTGCATAGAAATATATGACTTCCCCAGCCTCACTTGGTGTAGTGTTGCACAGGTGTGTCCACACACACAGGACCTCTTGCGGCATGAGCCCAGTTTACAAGCAGTGAGGATCTTTCAGACATCATCTTCCCCACAAACCGCAGGCTGGGTGCCATTGTTTTAGAAGAAGAAAAAAAAAAAAAGGGTCTGGTGGTGAATACTCAGTGTCTCTTGCCAAATTAAAATTTGTATTGTAAAGAGTTGGTTGTGTATATAACACTTGAGGTAGCTGCTGAGTGGTGACATTGAAATAGGTGTGTACCATTGGTATCTGCTGAGTGGAAGCAGAATAGCTCAGCTCAGTGTTATCCATGACTTTGTTGTTCTCCAAATTTCAATTTAACTTGATAGCGGTTATTGGTTTTGGAGTACGATGGAGTAAGTTGTTTCCAGAGCTCCACAGGAGCAGTGAAGAGGCTTTGTGATAGACATGATGCCTCCTTTTTCAGAGAAAGGCACAGTGTTTGACTTCAGGTGCTTGATGAGTTACATATAGAGAGTGCTGCACACCCTGTGCTGTAGTACACAGAGCGCTTATATGTGTTATGAGAACTAAAAGTGTGAAAATGGAGTCACATTTGTCACATCGTAACATGATGGTTATACCCTTGTTAGGGCCCCAAATTGCTCTTTTTGACAGTCCTTGAGATAGTGGAGTTAATACTGGTAACTTGCCTTTCTTAAAAAGCATTTCTGACCTTCACTTAGTTATTGGCTATTAGATTTAATTTTATTTTCATATAGTTTCACAAATGAGAGGCTAATAGGAGCATATTTAAAGGGAAAAAAAAAAGTCACTGCTATAGATAAAATGAAAAGGAAGGAACTATTTTCACCCATTAGTACTCTAAGCATTGTTATCGACACCTCTTATTGCACAGAAACAACAGTAGGAAAGCCTCACCTGAAGAAGGACAAGCAGAGGACAGGAGATTGCTGTTCCTGTCAGCCCTTGGTTTATAATTATGGGGTATTAATTCCACTCTTATCACTGTTCAGGCTACTACTGCAATCCTCTTTTCTGTGCCCCTAATGCTTCCACCTGCCTCATATACACAACCACGAAAGGCAGTGGAAGAGGAGTTCATATGCATTTTATCTCCCTTGGATGTGTTTTATAAGGTGGCTGGGCTGTCTCCAGAAAATCAGAGCTTTAAGGTAGTTAGGGACATGGAGTCTAACTTCAGGGCAGCAGGGACAGTGCTGGCAAATGGGAAGTAAGAAATCTTTTTGCAGTGCTTAGGTCTCTGGATCCAAGAGCCACTGGCTCTTGTATTACCCCTCCGTTACGATTGTTATTACTTCTAGCCTTCTTTACCAGGAATGCTTACTTCCTCTCCAGCCAGGAGCAGAAATGCTTCATCTCCAGCCAGGAGCAATGGCAGCGAGGCTGGGCAAGCTCGCAGCCACCCCTGGTGCCGGCACTGCGGAAGGCAGCAGCTGCTGGCGGGGTTTTACTATTTTTCCTTCCCTTCACTGTAACTGACTCATGCCCAGTTCAGCAACATCCCTGTGAGCGATGCTGCCACTGTGGTCCTGCATAGCTGGGACAAAATCTTGCTGCTTGGGTATCGCAGCTCATGAGACTGGAGGGAAACATAGGAAAGGTGATAGACAATTTTAAAACAGCTGGAGTGGTTCCTGTGGTAACATAAGGTAATGTTTCCTCTGAGCTATATGAAGAGCAGGGATAGAAGGGACAGGCATTGCACAAGCAGTGCCGTGTTTGATGTTTGGTTTGGTGGGGTGGAGAAGAATGACGGCTGGCAGAAGTCTTCAGCAACATAAAATATTTGCTGTCTACAAAGAGAGTAAAAGGAACCACTCCTATTTTTTCAAATCTTTTAAAAATAAAAATTATAGTAGTTTGTGTGCCCTCTTCATCTCCTCTAGGACTCCTCCTGTTCCTTGAACAGAAGTCTGAAGATAAGCTGCTCATCAGCAGTGCCTGTCATGTTTTCCTGTGGGTGATGAGGCAATCTAATGACAGAGCAGGCTGGTATTTTGAGCACAGATTAGCCCACCTCCTGCCTTCCTGCGTGGTCTTGCTCTTCAGGGGGCTGGCTAATGGGCAGAAGTCAGGCCTTGCCCCTTTTCCGAGGCTGGGGAGGGCTGAGCTTGTGCTGGGAGTGCTGCTGCCCCTCAGCAAGGCTGGTGCTCCTCTGTCCTGGCAGCTTTGGAGAAATGCCCTTCCTGCCCGGCAGTGACAGGATGTGGTACTCACACATCATTTATTGTCCTGTTGCATTAGAGAGTTTATTCATTTTTTTATTCTCATAAACAGATCGTAATTTGTGGGTTACCCCTTCAAAAAATTTACTACCTGTTGCATACCCTTGAAAAGGGGAATTTCTTAATTCTTTTGTGTCTGCCAGTGAAGCCAATGTTTGAGAGCCATAGGGAGACCTAGGTACTGTGGCTTCTGCCTGCAGACCCCCACTGATACTGAAATTGTGCAATAATGAAGTTTTCAGGTTTGTCCATACAAGTTCTATGCATATTGCCTGTTTGTCAGGACAGAAAATCACAGATCTTGATGACCATGTTTAATCCTGCATGTGGTGGAAACATAGCATATAACGGGTTTTCTCTGTTACTGCAAGAAAATTTTTGCATTTGGAGCCTGGACTGTGTCAGGGATGACACTGGTTGCAATGCAACAGCATCGTTACTTCCGTTGTTAGTGTTACTGGTCTACCTCCTGTTCTCAAAGGCCCCTTCTGGTACCAGATTGATGTTCTTGCCTTATATCAGCAGATAATGAAGAGGACCACATATTCACATGGGTCAGATACAGCAAGTGTATTTTCTTGCCTGAGGTTTGAAATCCCTCTCAAAGAGAGAATTCTGTGCAGCAATTCTGCATTGTATTTCTCAGAGATATGGACAATAAGTTTATAGATCTCAGAGGGAAAATGCATCCTTGAGAATATCAGTTGCTGTTACAAACTTAAGGGGTGCAGCAGAAATTCCTCATTTTCCTTGTTTATTGCAGGTGCTTGGAATTGCCCTCAACTGTGCTACTGTTACTGTCTCTGTGTTTCCTGGCTTGAGTATTTTCTGTTGCTCTGTAATCACTGGCGCCAAAACGGGACATTAGTTTTTTCATGACAGAGTGCTTGCCAACCTCTGTGTAAGCCTGCCTGCTGTGCTTTCCTGTCTTCTTTCACCGTCCTTCTTTCCTGAATCCCTTTCACTGCCTACTGTTACTTAGCCCCGCTTGCCCAGATTTCTGTCTGTTCACAAGCCCCAAACCCAAATCTTCCTGTAGCTGCCCATCAGTGTTGCATTTTGGACCCTTTATATCCATCTGTTTTCTTCTTTCAGGTTATGTCAGCTCAGGCAGTAAGAGCAAACTAAGAGAGTCATAGAACCATAGAATGGTTTGGGTTGGAAGGGACCTTTATGGGTCATCTAGTTCCAACCTCCCTGCAATGAGCAGGGACATTTTCGTCTAGATCAGGTTGCTCAGAGCCCTGTCCAACCTGGCCTTGAATGTTTCCAGGGATGAGGCATCTACCACTTCTCTGGGCAACCTGTTCCAATACCTCATCACCCTCATTGTAAAGAATTTCTTCCTTGTATCTAGCCTGAAACTACCCTCTTCTAGTTTAAAACCATTAGTCTTTGTCTTATGGGAACAGGCCCTACGAAAAAGTCTGTCCTTGTCTTTCTTATAAGCCCATTTGAAGTATTGAAAGGCCAGAGTTAAGGTCTTCCTGCAGCCTTCTCTTCTCCAGGCTGAACAACCCCAACTCTCTCAGCCTGTCCTCACGGGGGAGGTTCTCCAGCCCCCTGATTGTTTTTGTGGCCTCCTCTGAGACCTGCTCCAGCAGGTCCATGTCTTTCTTGTACTGATCCAGGCTGTTTGTGTTGATGTACCTTGTTCTGGGATGTGTTAGAGGGGCACAGAGTTACTGGGAACAATGCCTTACATGATATTCCTCCTTTTATGGTACCACTTCACCTCTGAACATACTGAAACCTCTGCATCAAGCTAGGGATGACAAAAGAGTGGAAAATTGGTCACATGAATTTGACTGGCACCCTGTGCAGCATTTGCATTTATTTTCATTGCTGAAGCAACCAGGAGACTATCAGCAGCCTAGAGCAGTTCAGAAACGCCACAGTTCATCCTGATACAGGATTTGAGCAGGACCTCCACAGTGCAGTTGCAGTTCTCAAGGTAGGAATTAAAAATGGATACGGGGAAAAAAACCAGACTGCTACCAGCAGCTTCTGCCATAACTCCCTGTGAGACTTGCTTAAAAACACATAGCTCCTGAGACAGTGTGTGTCACAGGGCTCCCTCATCACTCCAGCCGCCACAGTGAGAGATTTCCAGTTGTGTTTGGCTCAGCTGAAACGTGCAGCTCCCTGATGAGTTTGCTGTGTCTCTGTACCAGAGTATTAAAGAGCAAGATGGAGGGAGTATGAGGCAGTGTTCCCCAAGGACTGCAGTGGCTGAGTTTGCAAAGCCGATAGCTGCAGTCAGAGAATCCTGACCTTTGCATTAGTCACTATTGAATGTATCCTCAATATTTATTTCAGGCTCACCGCACAGAAAATGACCAGCTTTGTTCAGCAGATCTACAGCCTGTTCAGTTTAGCTGCATTAGCACAGCAGACACAGCAAAGCTCTTTCCCCGCACTGATACAGATTTCTTTTAGAAGTCATTTAATATCACTGTGGAGGTAACATGATGTTCTGTCACTATTTTAGGCTGGATGCGCTCTTGAGTTCATTAGCTGAAGTTTCCCAAATGTCATTTTTTTCTTTTGTGATCTTCAATTGTTGTTGGTTTTGTTTGGGTTTTTTAAGAAATAACTGTACAGACTTTTAGATGAGATTATTTTGCATATGGATTTAGGTGCTTTACATGGAGAAGGGGCTATTAAGTAATTATTTGATTAAGAATCGAAAATAGTCTTTCTGTGTTTCTGTTGAACCCTAAAAAGTTACAAGAATGCCACAAAAGATTCTTTACAGAATTGCAGCTGTTGGGCTGTGTTTTTCACATCAAACTGAATGATGTTGCAAATTCATCCGTAAATTCTGGAAAATTTCCAGCAGGAGCAAACCTGGATTACTTTGATGAACACTTTACCACACTGTAGCTCACCAAAACCCAGAAACAGATGAACAGCAGATGCTCTAGAAGAAGCTTTGAGGATATGAAAAGTTTTCCTTTGCTCAAGAAAACTGCCACCTTCACTGTGCTTTGATAACTATGTCTTTCTCCCTAACCCATGCTTTGGTAATAGGGAGAAAATAATTAAATACTTGCTGTGCCAAAAAGTGGATCTGTTCTATATAGCACCTTCAGTGTAAGTCAGATGTTTCTACCTAGAAATTTCCTTTTTAAAACTCAGCTTGACTATAGTTATTCCACATTTGGACTGATAAATGCAGAAAGCTCCCTTCCATTCTGACCTCTCCCCAACTCTTTATCATCTGAGGAACAAAATTATTTTAAAAAAAAAAAAGAAATAGAAGAGAGGGTGGCTCAGTAGCACCCAAAGAAGAGGGTGGAAACCATCCCAAGTGCAGATGTGTTACAAAGCAGGTGGCAGACCCCTTGAGTTCCTGTCTGTTCCAGAGGCCTGTACCAGGAGAGCATCTGTGCTCACTTCTCGAGGGAGGGGTGGGATGACACATGAAGATCTGCTCCTAATGCCGAGATGTCAGTGCTTACACTGTGCATTGTATTTTATATCAGATCTCAAAAATATGTGCTGATATGAAATACTTTATTTTGGGCATTTAGTCCTTGCACATATGCATCTCTCCTTTAACATTGTTAAATTCCTGGCTTGAGCAATGCTGTGTGTCAGGGTGGCCTGTGGACTAACTAGTCATTACACAAACAAGTATTTCTTTTTATTGATTTTCTCTTTTATTCAGTAACCCTTATTCTTGAGTTATAAACATATGATTCAGGAGTACTTCTTTTTTTCCTTTTTCCTTTGTATTATTATTTAAACTATGATACTTGTCATGTGCCCATTTTGTTCACCTCTAATTCAAAACGTTGCTTACCTTTGAAATATCTTCTTTGGGGAAGTGCTTCCCTACTCTTGATCATTACTGTCCCCAGGATGCAAACCTTACCTCATTTTGGAATGACTGCTTCAAAGGGTGCTGGCTAGCCCAGCTTTTGTTAACCTAAGCATTGTTTATTATGGTATTAAAAATAATAATTTGTAAAAGTAGTAAGTCATTTATTATTTTGCATACCACCATCCTTTCAAAGGTGGTATGCAAATGGATTTTAAGACAAGGTTAAGCTAAAGCAGTGATTGAGCTGCTAGTATCATGGGCAGCTCTCCATCCTGTGTCACTGGATTTAGAGCACCGCAAGGCAGGTGAACAGTTCAGACTGTAACCTGCAGCGTGCGGTAGTTCGTATATACAAGCGTTGAATGTTATGAGCCATGATGCTGGTTAGCTGCTGCCGTTCAAAGTCCTCACTCTTTCCTATTGGCAGAATGAAGTAACTACTTGGTTACTTTCAGGTTTTGCTGCTTCACTGCTTGTGCTTGATTCCACAACTACTGTGCTGAGCGTGTGTTACGTTATCTTGGAGCACTTGAATGTTGCCATAATTAAAAACTATTATTTGTACTGTTTTTTTGATTTATGATAGTAACTTAGAGTTGTCTACACCTTTATGGGGTGTAATGGTTTAAATATATGCATGTGATAATTAGCGATGCCCAGAATTTCAGGTGTAGTGGGGGAGGCAGTTTTGTCCCTCTGCTACTTTACTGACATACCTGCTCTGGTGCTGCGATGAAAAATTTTGCTGTCCAGCCTTTTCCTTTACTCAGGGCCGCCTCCGTGCTCACCCATAACATCAGTTCCTCCCCCTTCAGCCTCATCTTCCCTCATGTTCACCCAGTCCCAGGCCGAGGAAAGGCACAGCTGTGGTAGTCTCCAGCTCCCCTTACTAGGTGTGCTGGGGTGCAGCTACCCAGGGCCCCCCCCCCTCCCTTCCCAGACAAAGTGTTTCCAGGATTTGAGAGGGCAAGGAAGGGAGGAATAGCAGAGCGAGAGGAGCTGACGAGTCAGGATTGCTGCTCATGGGAGGAAGGGTTAGTGGAGCTTTCTGTTGGCTTTTCCTATTTCCCTGGCCTCTCGTGTGAGACTGATGTGCGGGGTCGTTAGGGGATTGCTGCCTGAGCGCAGCTCACACCAGCTGCCTCCGTTCGAGGGAAGTGGCCAGCAAAGCGGGCAGCTCTGAGGAGGGACATTCCCGCAGGCAGGACTGACACTCATGTGAGGCCAGAGGCTTTTCTGCATTGGTTTAAGACCATCTTCAGCCCCAGACAAGAAATGCGACTAGGCAAGATGGGTTCCTTTGCAGTTGGTTGTGCATATTTTTTTAAACACTCCATCCTTAATTACCTGAAAAAATAGTAATAATATAAAAAAGTCTCTACAGAGACGTTGCTTTGGAATAAGCCCAGACAGAATGAATATTTTGTCTTTTGATTCAGATCCAACCTTCTAAAATTCAAGTGTATTCCCTAGTATAGAGCTATTTATTTTGCACTTGGGGATGCAAGCGTAAATAAGATCTTTGACATAAGTAATGAGAGCAGGCTGTTCTCTGGGTACTCCTGAACTGTTTCCATTTGTCCTCCGGAGATTTATAGAAAAGGTTTTTCCCTTCTACCTTTTGCAGCAGTTCTCAGGGGTGGCTTGCTTCTTTCCACCACATGCCTCAATCCTTGTTGCAAGGAAGGAGGTGGGGGGAAAACAGCCAGTATCATCCTGTCTCTCAGCCTGGGTAAATTACTGGAATATTTTTCCATTTTCATCCATAAGGTTGGCAAATTGACCACTGAATATGTCACTTCACTTGCAGCATTCCAGTTGTTACAGGTTTTTAGACTCTGTATTAAAAGTAATTATAGAGAAACTTTGACATGATTAATCCCCCTTGCCTGGACAGTTAATTCTTAATTAATGGATTTAAAAACAAACACACAGATTTTTTTTTCTCTTTTTCTTCCAAACTTTTGACAGATAGGGAAAGAAAAGTTCCACAAGTCACAGCACTGGGGTTACTGCAATAATGTTGCTATGCTGGTTGGAGAAGGTAAACCTGGAATAGGAGGTGAACCATTACCTGGTCAGAAGCTGAAATCTACATACAGCGTGTTTCCTGAAGGGATGGGAAGCAACTTTCCTGCTTGGGTAGCATTTGACAAGCAGGTATGTGGAAATTTGTATCTGGTTTTTATGAATGGCTACAATATGACAAAGATAGTATACAGGTGAAATTCACTTAGTCAGGTATTTCAGATTATTTTGTGCATGCAAAAAAAGCTCCTAGATAGACAAAAAGAGTGGTAACATCTATTTTTCCTTCATATTGTATATTGGACAATTAATATAAACATATATAATGCCATACAGCAATACATAAAATATTTTTGTATTGAGGTACATATTCTATAGGATATAATAAAAATAAAGGAGTGGTTGACACATTTCTTTTTAGTAAAAATGGTGACAGTGAAGGATTTATTTGGCAACCTGGGAAGAATGAATGTAAGGTAGGCCCAGTCCAGGAGAAAATGTGCATGGGCATTTGGGAACCATTGACCTCAGTGGAGTGCTATAGGCTTGGAATTCTGTTATACCATCATGCCTGCATGCTCAGAGTGCTCCTGACTTTTGTGTGATCTGTTCATATGTAATATAGGTAGATTTTGTCCATTATAGACACAGGAATTTAAAATTAATATTCTTTTATTTGCAAGACTATAGTGACACCTTTAAAGTTAGTTATCAAATAACTGTAATTTGTGATGATAAAGATTTTGTAGCACACTGTCATTACTTTCCATGTTTAAATTTACATTGAGTTCTACTTAGTGATGTTTTATATTTCTAAAGCAAAAAGCCTACAATCAGAGAAGGAAAATGATCCAGCAAAAGAAATCATTCAGCAGATCGCAGAAATGTTGCATGACTAAATTATTATGGTATTTATATATTGGGAAGAATGGCTAATCTCATAATTTTTTCTTTAAAAGAAAAGCCATGCAGGTAATTACAGCACAATTACATATTCGTTTCTTTGGCAGACCAGAACTACTACAAGAAAATGTAAGGCTTGAACAGATACACGTGACTTTGGTTAGCATTGCCCCTGAAATCCTGAAGCATTGCTCACATGGTTTTCAGCAGTGTGCTCACATATGAATTGGTCCAAGGTGCCAAAGTGTTAAGCTTTCAGCCAGTCCTTCACTTGCTTTATCTGCACCCTTCTTTCAGCGAGGGGGTGTGCATTGGCTTCTCAGAGCCATATATAAGTTAGCAGGAATTGGACCCAAGTTGATGAAGGAGAGGGGTTGGGTAGGTGGCAGTGGGGACCTGCCGCTGAGCATCAGGCACTGAACCTGGCTGGTGAGATGAGCCAGCTGGCCTTCTGACATTCCTTCTCTAGTCCAGTGTTTTCCTCCACAGGGCAATAGGGGACAGGAGTTTGCAGGTTCAGAATTGGCCTCTGGAGGGCTCATGTGTTTGTATTCATTACAGACTGTTAAAGGGTCCTACCCAACTAATTTAGCTTCCCCAGTTAAAAGCCAAGAATGCAGCTATATTCTCCAGTGCTGCAGTTTGTGACTCAGCAGAATTGACTACATGAAAAATGGTTTGAGTAGGTGTTTATCTTTTTAAATGCAGTCCACTTTCTCATAATTTTTATTTGGTTTCTAACTTTCAGCAGTACCATAGTAATTGGAGAAAGGACAGGCATCAAACTTCATTACTAAGTAGGTTGACAAACACTTTTTGCAATTTCATATGCCTAATAGGAAGCAGGTGTAAATTTAATTTCTTTTACCATTAAGTACACACACAAGGCCCCCTGAAGCTTTAAACTATGTTTATAATTTGACTACCACAGGTGCCAGGGCCTTGAGCCAACTTTACAAAATGCCACAGAGTTTATTCAATAGTTGTTACTTTTGGTTTTCATTGGTAACATTTAAGTTTTAAAGCATGGAATGGGAACTTTGCACACAGCAATGTACTACAGATGAGACATGAGTTAGGAAGTGTTACATTTCAAATATTTTTAAAATTAACTTTGCTTTAAAATGAAAAGAAGTTATCTTCTTTTCTGTTCCTTCCCCTCCTCACCCTTCCTGAGTCATCTGTTTTGATCTGCAACATTGCAGTTGGCTGCTGCATATATTTCAGTCATACACTAGAATGTTGATAAGGGTCTAAAGAGAATAAAGAATTAAGTGCAAAATACTTGCACAAACTCCTTGAATGGAATAAACCAGGACATAGGTGTATGCTTAAGTAAAGGAAATAAATACAGTGTATTTAGGACCTGATTGTGCTTGGAAATCTGTGCAAACATACCACTTTGCTTGACTGGTGTCTCAAAAGACAACCATTCTCCAAAAAGATCATTGACCAAATTAAGAACAATTAGTAATCAAATAGGGCACTTGAACAATATGTTTTTCAAATGACCATAGTGGGACTAGCAGAACAGGGAGGAGAGGGTATAGCCCCTAAGGAAGCTTTAAGTGGTTGCATGGCTTATCAGCAGCTGGGCAAGGAAAGAAATTCTGCTCCTTGTCAGCTGAACCCCAGGATGTTCAGACCAGGATTCAGTGGTTCCACCATAATTCCTTTTAAGTCCCCTGAAGTATTCAAGAGACTTACACAAGGCTTCTGGTTGTTCCAGAATAGTAACTGGGGGAAGGATACTTTGGTCACCAAAACCAGCACTATACACCAATGTTTAGACAAATGGGAGGAAGAAGAGATGTTAAAGGATGATAGAGTTTGTGTTGGCTCTGTTGTATGTGAGATGCTGTATCCAGTGTTTTTGTGTTTGATACATGAAACAGTGAAATGCACAGTTAAAAATTACATGTGGCCAGAATGACTTTTTATTTATTTTCAACTATTTCACCATAGGTTGTTCAGAATCTTGCATATTGTACTACTTAAACCATAACTGAGAGTGTCAAGATTCTTTAGAGGATTAATGACATCAGGTTTAACAAGTAACAGTCATGTAATTGGATTATAATTTAAATATTATTTCTCTAATGATGGCGTGTCACAGTGCAGGAGAATTGATGCTAAAACTATGTCTGTCGTATTGTTTGATGCATGCTGAAAATCAGTGGGATCTTAGCCTTTGAAATAGTTTGTGGAAACAGAGTTTTCCTCATCCTGCACTCAACCTGCCTGAGAGAAGGGAGAGGGGCCTATTGAGAAGCCTGACTAGGACACAGGGTGGCTGTTCTTATGTGCTCCTGAGCAAGCCACTAGGTCTCTGTCCCCAGCTGTAGAAAAAGAGGTTGTGTTTGTCTATCAGGGTGTTTTAAAATCTCTGTTGATAGTATTCATGGAAGTACTTTAAGGTTCTCAAAGGCACATGGTAAAGGAATAAAGACTATTAACCAGGTTGTTCTGTCCTATAGGGATCTTGGCCACCTTACTAGATTTCAAACATCTTCAAGCCATGGTCTGCCAGATGCTCACTGAAACATAGGGAACAGCTAAGTTGTCTTTTTTTCAGTGCTTTGGTTTGTATAATGGATCGGAAATAAAGGTAATTGAATTTATTAAATAGAATAATTGTGAAAAATGAAGTATGAATTGGCACTGATTTGACCCAAATTTGTTGGAGGGGTCAAATGGAAACCTGCTTTAATTAATGCCTTCCTGCACATACCTACCACAGCAAGCATTCTGGTAGATAATTCACTACTATGTAGATACTTCTTCCACATTCCCCTAAAACTGGTCTTGGTGATTAAAGACTATAAGTGATACCGAGAAGTGCAAAACTTGTATAACAGTTTGCAGAGTCTGAGCTGAGATCTCCAGACATAAAGGCCACTGTAGTAAACCACTGAGCACTTCACCTATGAAGGGTTTTTTTCTTGCATTATTGCTATTGCAAGAGGCCGTGAAGATGAGCTGGCACACTCCTGGAGATTTCCCCACTCACTGAATTGCAGAACCAGGTAAGTTTTGAAATGCCAGTATTTCACAGCTCTAAATGACTCCTGAAAAATGTCATTTCTCTCTGATACTTTTCAGTACCATTCATTAGACAGCTTGCAGGATCTGCTTAAAAAGAACTCTCCTTTCCACTTACTTCAATGGTAAAGCTATTACTGTCATAATGCACTTTATTTTCCAGCAATTCATTGAATAGCAGTCTAAAATTTGCTTCAGGACCTAGGTAGCTCATTGTGTTATCAAAAGTGCTTTGTTCAGAAGCTTTTCCAAGCAGCCTGCTGATAGTTTTATATTTGATTTATTTCTTTACTTTAGAGTTCCATCTCTGCTTAGATGTTGTGATAATAAAAATGCCAAGCAAAGAATTTTAAATTTATGTGATTTAATGTGGATTTCTGTTCTTACATTTCTGAGAAATAAATCTAACTCCTGAAATCCATACATTTAGTTACTTGTAATCTATACAAGTTTATTTTATTGACATGTTTTGCAAAAGCACTGGAGAATTTGTTGCTTTATACTTATTTATTGTTTTTAATAGGTATTGTCTTTTGATGCCTATTTTGAGGAAGAAGTGCCTGACAAAAATCAAGAGCTATATAGAATCAGACACTGTAAAATATACTTCTACCTTGAAGATGATACAATTCAAGTGATTGAACCCCAAGTGAAAAATAGTGGCATAACTCAAGGTATCTATTTTTAATAGAACTCTTCTTTTTGCCCTTTATGTCCTTCTTCAGTATGGTTTTGGTCCATTCCAAAGGATATGTAACGTGACTTCTTATAGTTAAAATAGGATGTAAGTGAACAACTATAACTGCCTTTTCTTGTTATAGATCATAATGTGAACTTTTTTATTGTCTTAGTTTCTGAAGATGTAGGTTTTGTAAGGCAGAATCCTTTCCCATATTCAAACATATCCTTTTTTCTCTAATATAGTTGTTTGAAATCATATGATAGTAGGTCTTTTGTCAGTCTTGTGTGACTTTTGCAAAAGCAATTTGTGTTCTAGATCTCCATTCCTGAGCCTGGCTCCTCTCATCTTGGCACTGACAGCAAGTTCTCTAGCGGCAGCTCTGTAATTGTTAGTTAGCTTCTGCAGTATCTCTGCCTGTATTGAAGGAGAGTGCCTTTTGTGCCTCTGGCCGTTGGCTCTTTTATGATTAAACTGCCCTTGGCACAGTAATTTTTCCCTGATGCCTCTAAGAAGCTGCCTTGCCTCAGTGTCACATTGCTGCATGTTGGCCAGCTGAGGACTTTTGGAGGAGGGTTTACTGAGCTGATTTACTGGAGTATTAAAGGACTTGGTTTACATTAAGAAACTGTGATCTAGCGGTCAACATCCTGTTGCAGAAGGGGAACACAGCTGTTGCTTCTTGGTGTTTATGGGACACTGCCAGAATTAAAAAAGTTTTCAAGGGATATAGTCCAGACAATCAGGATGTCTTGGGATGAGTATCTTGGGATGACTGCGCCTCCCAATCCCCAAAGATATTTTGTACATTCTGGTGGATCTTAGCACAGTAATTTTTGAAAATAAGTTAACCATTTAACTACTGTATTCTTTATTCTTTTTCAAAATGAGTAGATGCCATCCATTTCTGTCTACAGAGTAGGATAATATTCAATGGCGTTACATGCATTATTACTGTTAGACCCGGGATAAAATTACCTGCGAATCTTTTCTTAAACCAGTACTTCAGGCCCTGCTCTTCCTGTGTGAATAGTTCTTCTTGCCAGAAATCTTGTTGGCTCTTCAGCAGGAACTGATTTTGAATTCAGAGAAACTTTGTCCTACTCCTACCTGAGCAAGTGCTTTTTCAAGACATGAAGAAAATAATGTTGGATCTCTTTTCCTGGGAACTTAGAAGTTACTTGTTTCCCACCTCACACATATGAGTGCAAGGAGGGGGTATCATCTGGTTTAGGTTTTCCTTGACTTGTGTGTCACAGGAGTGGGAGTGGCTGTTTCTGGATTTTGTGGCTTAGAACAAATGACCATTGACAAGTGCAGTTAACCTGGGAGGCAAAGGTGGTGTCTTTGAGAGGGAAGGTAGAAGACAGGTTCATTAGAGCAGGATAAAGCTGATTCCTTTGAATCTAGCTATAGGAATGAATGATTTTCATTGTCTTTGTAGTATGGGTTGTGTAGGCTGCCCCTTCAGGCTTGATGTTCCTGGCAGTCTTGTCACGTTCCTGTGGTGACAGGAAGGCTACAGTTTCTCCCTATTTCCTTGGTTGTATCTTGTGTTGTTGGATTCACCTTCAGTAGGGGATCTAAAATTAACTGAGTAGTATTAGAGAGAAACAAGAATTCTCTGTGTCTTCCATGCAAGGATGTTTTGAAGGCCTCTACAACTTTGTATGAGTACTTCAGGTGGCATGAATGTGTACACACAATGTATTAAACTGATAGATTAAAAAGAAATGTTCTGGGATCTCAAAAGTGCACTTAATTTATTTGTTGCTGGTACCTGGGCTGGTAAGGAAGCTCTCTATATTGATGGTGTTTAGGAAGGAAGAGATACTGTAGATTGAAAAGCCCAAGGACTATTTGGGATGTGTTTAGGCTTCATAGTTGATGAGAAGATCTGGGGCCTATACTTTATCATAAACATCTACATAAATATTATTATCCTAGAGGTTAATATGATGTAGAGGGAAAAAGGTGGTGAAGATGCCTATCAGAGGATTCTTTTTACATGCACTTGGGTATTGACTTCATGCTCCAATGACTAAAGAACAAACATAAAGTTGTTATGTTAAAGGCACTAAATATTTGTTGTTGAATATATGAAAAAGCAGTGTGTCTTAAAAAGAAATCCCAAACAATTAGCTGCTAGTCTTACTCTGTTTTCAATAAAAAATTGGCCCATTCCTTCTTTTATTACAATTATATATATCTCTCTTATATTATTCAAATTCCCTGTCCTTTACTGTGTATTTGTAAGCCTGAGAACAACAGCAGTGTAACTGTCTGCATTGTGAAGCTGGTAAACTGAAGCACAAAGGAATGAAAACCTTGCCTGTAATCAGGCAGTAAAGGTCGTAACAGGATGAGGAACTGAAGTGAACTGAAGCTCAGGATCTTAACCATATGCTGTCCTCTGCACATCTGCTAAAATACAATGTTTTAGTTAATTAAAATGCCAGAGGTTTGTAGGGGAGAGTGAGTTCAACTGCAGCAGAGCTTGGGTTGTTGAAAACCAAACGGCACTGCACAAGAGAGCACAGGCATGGGGATGTGGATGAAGAAAGAAGTGTGGGAGCATCAAGAACACCATGAACCCAGTCTGTGTGAACAGTTGGAGAGCTGCAGTGGCAGGAAAGGGGTTGTGTAAAGGAGGAACAGCAAAAAACAGGGATGGAAAAAGTGGAATTGAACTGTTGAAGGCAGAAGGTGGTGGTGACCTTAACTTGGATACCTACCCCCATGGAAAAGATGTAAGAGAGACAGCTGAAATGGCTGTTCTCAGGAGTCTTCTTGAAGAATAGATACAGCAGTGGTGGGGTAGATCAAAGGCAGGTGGTGGGGTAGATCAAAGGTAGATCTTAGTTTAGCTGGTTAATGCCTTGAGGCCATGGGATTACCCATGCTTATGCCATAACCCACAAATGAGAGCTTGATGGTTCAAATGGGTGTCCCTGAGCATGGTGGGATCAGAGAAATGTATCAGTTTCCCACTGTACTCCCCATTGTGGTTAGTACTTGTGGCTTTGCAAGAAAAAAACTTTGAGAGGCTTATGTACTGCAGGATGATTTGGTGAAGGAACAGCTGTCAAAGAAGTCAGAAGAATTTCTAACTTTGATTATAATTTTACAAAACTAAACAAATTGCCTCAGGAAAAAAAAAAAAAAGCCAGAAAATGTGCTTTTACCATTGATCAAAATCTCCAAGTGACAAAGTAAATGATCTGTGGGAAATGGATTTCAGTGTCTTTAAAAACTGCTTTATGGAATTGGCTGCTGTACTTGGACACGAATTTGGACAGATAAGGTTGCTACTAAATAACTGAAATTTAAAATTAATTTCATTTTGGAAACTGCCTTGCTATAGTTTGAACTTTGGAAAATATTAGAAGAAATCTACACAAACAGAGAAATTCAGTGCAAAAAACAGAGGAATGCAGAGGCCAACCTGAACTTGAGAAACAAGAATCAAAGCAAAAAATATCAGGACAATCACAGTGCATAAGAACTAACTAAAAATAAGGGAGTACAGAGTAAAAAGGACAGTAAACTTGACCACATCACAAACTCCACTATGTTCTTCCAGAGCCAGAACGCTAATTATTCTTCCCATATAAAAATAAATTCTCCCATAGAGAGCCAGGCTAGATATGGCAGTGCAAGTGTTTTGTAGATCTAATTCCCAGTTAACAGGACTGTGGCTGGCTGATACTGTCTTATCAGAAGGTCGTTTCTCTCCCATGGGGTTGACTGTAGCTTCCAGTGCAATCTAGGCCCTGCAAGCCAGAGCAGAGTGGAGCAGCTGGCTGGTTTCCCCAAGGTCAGCCAGCTGAAAAAGAGAGCGGAGCTGCCTGCTGGCTGGGTTCCCAAGGCCGGCTGGCTGAAGAGGAAAGTACAAGCGGGGAAGTGAAGTTGCAGTCAGCTGCTCCAATATGACCGATTATCTAAGAGTTTAAGACCTCCCCCGAGGCCTTGAAATAATTGTGATTTTGCCATACTTGATGGTGGCCAAATCATGACCTTGCTATGTTCTGACACGGGTGAATAAGTGAATGTAGGAAGCCCGTTGTTTATTGGGGTGAGCTCTGTGTGTTGCAGGAATAGTAGTGGTTGCTTCTCCTCCTTTCGGTGCAAGAAGTCAAAGAGTTTATGAACTCCAGGTGTTACCCATTCCTCTCCTCTCTCTAATGCACTCTTGAGTAGTGCAGAGGGAGTCAGAAAGCTGTGCTGAGGAAATTCTTGATACCACTGTATTTCTTCTGCAGAGCAGTGTAGCAGTAGAAACCAAATAATTTGCTGTCCAGCTTCATGAGCTGCCCCATTGTCAAAAGGCCTTCACTACTGTTAAGGTCTCCTTAAGCTGCTGCTGTAGTTGCCAAGTAATCAGAAACCCTGAGAGAAAAGAAGATACACTACACATTATGGCGTGGGAACTCGATGCCACCACCGCTGTCAGAGAAAAACAGTACTCCAGCTCCCTTTACAGGAGGAGAGCTTTAGATATTTAAAATAATGCTTGGTGGTGCAGCAGGATAGCCTGCTCAATAAACTGACAAAAGACAAAAAAAACATCAAGAACAGCCCTGAGTGTTGCACATGCCCAGATCCTCCTTTAACAACTTGTAGCAAATTTCTAGATGTAGAAATGTAATTATTTTCCAGAAGGAAGGACAATTTAAAAAATGCTGAGACCTAACCTCAACTGATCAGGTTTTATTAAATTTCAAATTCAACAGTATAAGATGTGTCCTCTACATGTGTAGATCAAGCACAGTGATACCTAATAAAAAAAGCAAAGGATTGCTACAGATATTATCTTTATAAGACATTTTCCATTAGGAAAGAAATTCTTATCCCTCAGAACAAAATAGGCATGTGTATTATACTTTGAAAAGTGATATGAAAAGCTAGCTGAGGCTTATTCACCAGTTCTGAAGTGACTATACCCTCAGAAAACACCTCATATTAGGAAATTGTCAACCATTATATTTTCGCTAAAATGATGGTTCAACTGGATTTGCATTTATGTGGAGGACTGTTCTGATTTAGCACATTATCTGCTGATTTTTGTAGGAGTGACCCAAGGATTAGCCAAAATCAGGTAACATATTTTAAACTATGTGGGTTTGTTAATGGTAATGTGATGCAGTTTTGCATCATGCTGAAATGTGCTAATTACCATGTCTTCTAACTAATATTTCCATGAGGATGCATCTTAAATACATGTATAAGCATGTTTAAGCAGATAGAGGTTCAAATTTATTTTACAAAGGCCAGTAACCAGAATGTCGGATTTGGTATATGTGAAAAACCGGGATGCTGAACGGGTCTTAAATAATTATTTTAATGGGAACATAAAATAAATCTGCTTTGTTGCTTTATTCCCCTGAAAAATTAAGGGTATGTTTTCATTGTAGGAGTTAGAATTTCACAAACAACTCTGATAATGTAGTAGTGGAAGGTATTTCATACAGATTAGTCCTTAGGGAAATAAAGCTAACAATAAAGAATTTCCATGGACTAATTTAGGAATAAGGCCCTTCAAACACCGAACAAAACCACACAGCAATATCTTTCTCCCTCTTCCTCTGCCTCTCTTTATCCCCTCTCCCCCCAGGGCCCCCTCCATCCCCACCTACCTCCAAAACAAAATAGCAGTGCTGGAAAATCATCAAATGGGACTCAGTGGGAAACACTACCAGATGCACAGCTGAAGGGCACTGGAAAGAGATGCAGTTCTGTAGTGAGAGATAATGAGGTAGACCTTTTAGATAATTGTGTCTAATAAACTATTACTGCAGTAGTAGGTTAGTACTGGAATTATTTTTAGGTTTCAGATTTTTGTGTGTTTACTGCAGTTGTCTTGAAGTTGCACTTTTTATAATTACTGTAATTCTAAAGTTGTTGGGAACCTATGGTGTCAAGGAATTATTATAATAGCATGGGTTGGTGGTTCCTGTCTGGTCTTAGCCTGTGGGTATCTACATATGAAGCTGCTGTTAGAGGTGTTGGGGTTGGTAAACACAGCAAAGAGCCTGAGGTTGAAGACTGGACCATCTTATTACTCTGCAGGGTATTTTCACACAACTATATTGAAGTATTGATGTGGCAAAACTTTCACAGTTGTCCTTTTTGTTCTTTCATAATGTTGAAAAAAAAGAGTTTACTCCCACCTATGCTGATCTGCCATTCTTTGTGAACTCTAACTTCAGTCGGAATAAATCATAGCTTGTCATATCTGCAGCTGCATACCTTTCTTGAACGTATGTGTTACATATTTGTTTAACCTACTGAGGCTGTAGCTTATAAGTTGTTTCTGAAATATTTGTGTTATCACAAAATTGTTGAAGTTGGAAGAGATATCTTAAGACTGTCTAGTCCAACTTCCCTGCTCCAAGCAGGATCAACTAGAACCAGATGCCCAAGGCCATGTCCAGTTGGGTGTTAAGTATCTCTGTAATGGAGACTTCACAACTTTTTGGGCAGCCTGTTCCAGTGTTTGATTGCCCTCACAGTAAATAAGTGTTTTCTTGTGTTCAGATGGAATTGTATATCTTTTAATTTGTGCCTCTTGTCCTGTAAGTGGGTACCATGGAGAAAAGCCTGGCTTCATCTTCTTCAATCCCTACCATCAGGTTTTTATAAAAATTGATACGTTTTCCTCCCAAGCCATCTGTGTTCCAGGCTGAACCAACCCAGCTCTCTCCACCTTTCCTCATGTGAGAGGTGCTCCAGTCTCTTAATCATCAGCAGTGAGTACTTCTGAAGCATTACCCAATTCATCAGTGTATTTGTGAGTTTTCAGCTGATAGACCAATAGCAGATGCCTTCTCTTTTAATGTGGTAAATGTGCTCTCAGAATAGCAGTCCTTTCATTTAAAGACTATCAATAAGCAAATGTGTGTTCTTTTTTTAACAAAGTTAAAATATCTCTCTTTTTTTTCTGCTCCTTTCTCCTCCCCACCTTTCTCTTCCTTTTGGACAGTGTTCCTGTTAGATTATGGGTTATGAGTTCCTGGCTCTGTATTTCTGAGATGGATTCTTTCCTGCAGCCCAGCAATCAGCCCAACTCATCTCTGTTGTTTCTACTTTCAGTGTGCTCCTTAAGGAAGCTCAGTTGAATGTGCCTGCCTCCGTACTTGATAGGTCACAGTTCCTTTGTAGGGCAGGTTTTTTTCTCTAACCTTAGTTACATATGGTTCTCCTCACCCTGCAGAGAGTACAGAAAAATTTTGTCCCTCCCATGCCCCCCCCCCCCGTATTTCGCACAACTTCTTGTGTGTTTTCTTTTTTAAAGAAAAATCAATTATACTACTGAGCACTGGAGACTTCTGTTGCTTTTCAAAAAAAGTAAAAAAGACTTATCTCTTCATAATGAGAAAGAAGACTTTGAAAAAATACTAACCTGTTATGTTTGCACCAACAAATGGGAATTTATTCCAGTGGTTTCCTGTTTGCTTCAGAAGGTGGTAATTTTCTGTATTAACTTCAGTCAAATACTAGAACTTGAGGTTCCAGAAGACAGTTCATGTAAAGTTTTGTTGCTAATAAAAAGGATCCTCTTACCTAGTAGTTCTTTTGCTGAATGAAGGATAATTTTGTTTTTCCCATGTGGCTTCATCTGTTTTGGTCATATCAGCATAGCAAATTAGCAAGTCTGTGAAGTGATTCTTAGAGCAAAGGATAATGATGAATTTATTCTAATTCTTTTACAGGAACTATTGTTCGACGGCACCGGATTCCACTTCCACCTCCTCATGAAGATCAGTTCTATACTATAGATCACTTCAATATCAACATAGAAGTAATCCTTTATGCCCGAAAATATAAGATTATAGATTGTGACCAGTTTACAAAAAATTTCCTGAGGAAGACGGGAGTTAGATTAAATCCTCCCATAGGTCGTCCGGATGACCCGTACACCAAAGAGCGACAAAAGGTCAGATGACACAGTAATAGTGAAAACTTGATTTTAATAGAAATGCCATTGCTATCAGTAACGTGCACTGTCTAAAGTATTTCATTAATAGCAAATAGAAAGTAGCTATTTCAACATAATAAATCCCAGGAGAAAACTTGCTCTTAAAAGTTTTATTATATGACTCACAGTACTAACATAGTGAAGTCTCAGATATAACTGATTTTATCCTGCTGTGTTCACACAACTTTTGAAACAAAACAAGATTAATTGGTAAAAATAAAATAAAGCTTTCAGTATTAAATAGAAAAGAAAAAAAACAGACGTATGATATGTTCTACAAACGTTTTTGCTTTAGCTAATTTAATGATAATAAACACTTTAAAAGTGTTTAAAGGAAGATCTAATTGGAATTGTGATTCAAGCACATCCATGGCTTTCTGCAGACTTACTTGGTCTATTCATATGTCATCCTTCATCTCTGTGTTATTAACAGCTCTTTGCATGTGTAAAGCAAATTCTTCTGCCACACAGAACCCAGCACACTGCAGTTTTAAGAGTTTTATTTGAATGCACTTCCCTCTTTTATAATATATGGGAACACATACACACCTCCTCCTAAAATATCACTCACACCTCCTAGATGCCATGTGGATTCCCCTCTGCAGTATTTGGGGTCTTTTCTCTAGGAATAGTAGTGGGAGTGATATTTTCTGTAGGGTATAATGACAGTTTCTTTCAGTTCTGTTTTCCTTGATTAATATGAGTGTAGATGGCACTGTATTTTTCTCTTGATGTGGACTGCTGGCCCATGATATGCATCATGTTATGATAGATCCAGCCTAGTAGTACCCTGAAAGCAACAAATACTCCTGTGTCTGTGCATTCAACTTAATCCTCCTACTGAGAAAACTGCTGCAGGTCTCAGCAGCAAAAATGGAAGGTAATTATGACTGAGATGTGCAGGACAATTTGCATATATCTGAGGCACTCTCAGGCCAGCATGTTGGTTTCACTTCATTCATGCTTTCAGGCTTTTTGCAGTCCCCCAGTGAAAGGTAGTATTTGTAATACATCTCCTGGTTCAGCGTAGTGGTGACTTAGGCTGGCCATGTGTTGCTTTTCCCTTACTCAGGCCTTGTAGGTAGCGGGTGTATATTAACCCATGTGGAGTTGTCTTGATATTGGCAGACTGTGTAAACATTATATAAGGTACTGCATAACCTGCTTAGATGATTTTTTTTTTTTAAACAAGAAAAACTTTCAAGTATTGTGCATATGTGTGCCTAAAGAGAATGGAGAAGGGGAAATGGTTTGAGAAATAAGAGCATCAGGAGAACAAAAATTACTGAAATCTATGTCTTACTTTCTCAGTTGTTGAGAAATTACAGAAAAGTTATCTAGCAAATTCTGGCTGCTTTATGCATTCACTTCCCTGTGACTAATCTGTGGAAGGTAATTTTTTTTATTTATTAAGGGTGGATTTCTCTGGGCCATTTTGAGCAAAATTAAATTGATTTGCTCCAGACTCCTAATAGAAGGCCAGAAAATGAAGGTACGAAGGAAAGTAAAGAATGTGATGATAGAAAATGAGACCAATGAAAAATGTAGCAAAGCCCTTAGATTGATATTTCTGTATTGCTGGAGATGATATCCCACGGATGATGATGTTATCTGTCTCTGTGGCTGTATTTGGTCTCATTGTATCTTCAAGGGTCAGGAAGGAAAGATGGTACTGAGTTGGTGAATACCCAAGTTGTATGAGCATGATGATGCCTGAAATGCAAAGAGTGCTGTAGATCGGCAAGGGACATTTGCAGGCAAAACTTGGTTCTGCCCTCATTTTTTTGATCTGATGCTCTAAAAGAAAAAGCCTTTTCCCTCTCAGATTTTTAAGGCCAGATGTATCGATGGATAAATTTAGACAATGATATAAAATGCACATAGTCAACAGTTCTTTCTGTTCAGATGGTTCAGTTTACATTGTCTCACTGATGTCTGTCACCATTCCTCTTTGGAAGCAATTTTGGAGATTTTTGTAGATTAGAAGGACTGTCTTGTCCCTTTAGCCCACTTTGGACACTGTTTATATATGTGACTGTAACTAACAGTATGTAAATGCAGCCATTGGATTGGATCATCGTCCTGGGATCCAATTTAATGCAGTGCTACTGGTTTTGCAGCAGCTGTGACTGTGGATAACATCTTGTCATAGATCACACCAGCTGGAATGTATCTTTAGTTTGAGATCTCCTATTCCTTTTCAGACCTATGGGTGTATATTGAGAGGAGAACATACATACCCAGTACCTGCTAACTGTATGGCGTAAATCAAAAGTTAATAAACTATGATTTAAAGATAAAAGAAAGAAAACACCAAAGGGAAAAGAACAATTAATTCTTCATACCACATCATCTATAAAAAATAATTTTTATGGAAGTAAATCAGGAAGGGTGATGCTATTTGGAGTTGTAGTGATCTGATTACCATGGGCGATTTCTTGAAAATTGAGCTGTGCTATAAATAATTTAACAATTCTCTGATCTGAAGGACCTTATTGCAAGAAAAACAAGGATCAAAACCAATCCAAAATTGTTTTCATGTATTTTCTGAGGGCACAGCAACCCTGTAAGTAGTTCTTTGTTAATGGTATAAATAGTGTTTCATGTATTGTAATTGTGTGGTGTTATTTGAAAATCCTAAAGGCATGTCGTAAGATTAGATGTTACTCTGCAGGTTGGTGTCCTGTTTTTAAGAGCAAATAACTAAAAAGGTGTTTCTTTTAATTTCTCCTTTATCTGCAGATTCTGGATAGTATGAAACCATTGCGCCCTTATGAGCGCATTGACACTTTGAAACAATTTCTGGACCATGATGGACATGTTTTACGTTTTTTCTGTGTGTGGGATGACCCAGAATCCATGTTTCATGACCCGCGGGAACTTGTTCTGCATTATTATTTGTCTGATGATACTATTGATATAAAAGAAATTATACCAGTAAACTCAGGCCGGGATGCAGTTCCACTTTTCCTCAGAAGAGCTAAGCTTCCAAAGGTGAGGAATGAAAATTTCAGCTTATTTCAAATTCTTCAGCTAATGAAGAAATATTAAATGCCTTCTTTTGAAAATCCTGTAGTAGTATTGTAGTGGTACTTAGAAAGTGTTATCAGAGTATTAATCATAAATGCATGATTTAGGTTTTGCACACATTGATATAATAGCTTAATAAGTGATGGAATAAAATAAGTTCAGGCTTGTTCTTAAATTAAAAGGAGAGAATTTAGGCAGAAAGATACCCTGTGATTTCCTTTCTCCCATATTAGTATATTAAGATAAATATATTAATAATGCTCTACAGTAATGGAAGTCCAGAAAATTAATTAATATTGATAGATAAACTGAGGTGGATTCAGATTTGATCCATATAACTTATATTTGGAACCTCTGGAAAAGTCCAGGTTTAGTATTCCGTAACATTACTTCTTTGTAGCAAATCTAGCGTGATTTCATAAAACTGAGTACCTAGATTTGGGACCTTATGCAAAGCTAGTTAAAAGCAAAAGGAATCCATGAATACGCTTTGTCAGGCATTAATCAGGTTCTTATATGAGAAGGCTCCTCTCAGAGAAATCTTCAAGGGGTTTGAGTCCTCTGTAACCTATAATAATTTATTATTATTATTATAAAATTAATGAGCTGGATACACTTCTGATTCTGATCCTGATGACAGGAATCTCTTCCCTACTTTCCTTCTAAGACTGGTAATATATTTGTGATGCCATAGATGTACATGAGATTTTATACTAAAAAACTAACAGCAAAAATATTACACTTTTCTCACCTTGTGCATTCTGTGTTCTGAGATGCCGATTTAGCAGTGGCTCTATGTTAACAGACCCCTTCTACCACTGAAGAGCATGTTGCAATTTTAAGGGCTGGCTTCTGCCCTTGAATTCAGTGGAAATGTTGAGAAAGACCAGCAGAAGAGATCAGTCAAAAGTTGGGGTGTCAGGGAAGGTGGCAAGACAAAATAACCCACTTTGGTTACTCTGCATCAGCAGTTTGTTCATAATTTTTTAAAATGTAATGTGTTTGTGTATTAAGTTAGATATTACTTGGATAAATTACTATTGTAATTTTGAAACTCAGAATAGTAAGAAAAAATACTAAAATTTTTGTCAAGAGAATCATACTGACTTGAATCCCCTGTATTTGTGCAGTTGTTAGCACAGTAGAACAAGCCCTGAGTTCTTTTGAATGTTTTTATAATTATTACCAATCAAAATAATAGCCTGTAGCGCAGATGTTGACAACCATGTGCTACATTGGGTGTGCTACCCTTTCTGTTTGCTTCCAAGAAAAAAGAGACTTTACTTGGATACACAGTCAGATTCTGAATGCTTCCTCTGGTATACGTACTGGCTTTTGACATAGACACTGGCTTTTATGTTTGGTGGTGTAATCTTACCTTAGAATTTATGAAAAATTCTCCCAAGAAAATACAGTATCAGTCAGTCTGTAAAAACCTGCTAGTTCTAAGGTAACTGTGTTCTTTTTCTTCACTGTTGACTGTATTTCTTAAGAGTTGGTCTCTTTTCTTGCAGTACGCTCCCACCGGGCTGTATCAGCCGGGCACAATCACCAGTCGCACTGTTCGCAATGTGTTGGGAAAGTTAGGCCATTACATTCTGGACAATCGTAAGGTCAGATATTACTTTACTGAATGCCTCCAGCTGTTGAATGTCTTTATAGTAGTTTTTGTAATTTCTGTGGTTGTTATCCTCTACAACAAAGAGAGTTATTTATAAAATTGTGTTGCCACTAGAGAATAGCTCAAATTAAAACTACTGAGATTGACTGTATGTAAATTCCACATTTGTGAAAGTGAAGTAGCTTGGGGTGAAAAATACTTGTAAATGGACTATGAAGGTTATATTCGAAATCACATGCACTAAATGACCTAGATTTTAAGAAACGTTTTGGGATTCTGAGATTTATAAAGCTGCTGTATAAATGTTCCCTCTTTTATTAGACAGGAGCAGTGCATCAGGAATTTTACAGAGACAGTGACCTGAAAATAGGGGCAGTAATTAATGTTTGGGGAAGGAAGATAATACTCTGTGATTGTGATGAATTCACTAAAGAATATTACAGGACACAGTATGGAATCGGTAAGTAGTGATAATTATCCTTTCCTTACGAGCATTTTTATACTTCTGAGTTTGACAGAGCTGTCTTCAAATTTTATTACTGACAAAACATGTTCATTAAAACTTTTAGCAATAACAATCTGTCGTAGGCTGTTAACAGCAAAGCAGTAATTTTGCAGGTGATCCAGAAGGGCTTTCTTATATGTTACTCTATTGAAAACTAACACATAATGTACATGTTCTGTTCCTAACTGCATCTGTTTTAAAACTAGAATGACAAAATAGTCATATGGATAGTATCTTCTTTTCTCTCAGTTCTTCTTCTCTCCTTCCTCCTCCCATTCCAATAGCTGTGTTTGCAGTCAGAAGATAATAAAGAGCATGTAGTGAGTGGGTAGGTAGAATGAGTTCAATTATTCCCCATTATACTATGTTTCATTTTATGTGGATGTCAGAATCCTCACTTAATAAGATTTTCTGACACGACAGTAGCAGTCTATCACACTATTGGTTTTTACAATGCAGTTTTGTGTATTCTGGACCATTAGAGTATGTATCCTGTGAAGTTTCAGCACTGAATTCTGGAAACATTTAGCAACTATGCCCAGAATGGAAAAGCATTTTGAAAATGTCTAATAGGGGCTTTCGTTTATCTGTCTTTGAATTCCCTCAGTCAGACTTGCTAATGGTTCTATTATGGATATCTTCCTGCAGAAACGACTTAGTTAATTTCTGGCAGTTTATTCATTCTGTAAATATAGCTGAGTGTCTGACTGTTCAGAGATGGCTGGAAGAATCCTACCATGGCCTCTCTCTGACACTGTGAAACAAAATACCCAAGTAGACTATTTCTTTCAGCTTGACTTGTGACCAGACAGAGTGTAGTGTTGGAATCAAAGCTTGTCTGCTGCATTGGGGGAAAATTAAATGATGCAGCACTGCCACTAGATTTCTTAATTGTCAAAACATGTCTCATTAGGACTTTTTTAATAATAGCTTGGCATGTCTGTACCAAAATAAATATTTTCTTATACTAGCCAGTGTGTGAGGAAGTCATATTCAATGACCATAGTATGATCTATAATAATAGTGAGTTTAACTCCAGAGATGCAAAATAGGGGGTTCTTCCCTGAGAATTTCTTCAGCCAAGACCGCTGCCGCTATTTGGCAGCAATATCCTCTGTCTGAGCAAAATATCCTGTAACACTGAATGGGGATTTCTTACTCACAGCAGGCAATAAATGAAATGCAGCTGACCATTCTGTATCAACCAAGCTACGCAACAAAGCATTACACAAATGCAGAGGCTCTTCTCCTCCTGTAATGCTGGCTCAGTAATTACAGGTCACGTCTGTTACAGTTAGGTGGTTTGCAAGTTAGGAGAAGTCAGAAGGTGCTGATGTGCAAAATTCTAGAAAATTTGGACCATAGGTGATCTAGTCCATTCCCACTGTTCTGAGGCAGAACAGTGTATATATATATATATAGATTGTCACTGACTGGTGTTTGTATAGCCTTTTATCAGCATCCTCCAGTAGAGGAGATTTCTTTGCTTCCTGAGGTATCTTGTCCTAACCTCATAGTTACAAATGCCGCTGAACAGCTGCTCTGAAACTGGTTTGTGTACACTGAGAGAGTTAACTTTTTTTGTCCTACCTCTGTTGGAGAACAACTGCTCACTACCCTTTTTTGTAGCAAACTTGTACATATTTGAACGCTATTCCAATACAGCATCTTACCAACCAACTGCCTTCCCCAGCCATTTGCTGTGAGGTAAAACCTTTCAGTCTTTCTCCATAGTCCATTCTTTTATATCTGTGATAATTTTTGGTTTTTTCTCAATGCTCTCTCCAGTTTCTCTGCCTCCTTAATACAGAACACACAAAGAAGTGCTCTAGCTGAGATCCTTGGGAAACTGGGAAGGTTTTGCACATACCTTTAAGGATACATGATGGCAGAGACTCTGTCTAACACGAAGAAACCCCATCCATGTTGATGCAGCTTGTCTTGTTTACAGAAAATACATGGTTTCTTAGAGCTAAGAGATTCTCACAATTTGCTGTGAAATTCTTTCCTGCTTTCCCCATCAGGATTAAAAAGATGTAGGTATGACTTTTTAACTAGAAGGGTCTAGGAGTACAATCAAGGTAGTTTTTGGCTTAGAAGCAGGTTTTGAGAGAGAAAGGGTGAGGGTTCACCTTTTATTCTTAGTGAGTTAGAAATTTTGTTTGTGTCTGGTGGATGTGCAAGGTACTCTCAGTGGGCTCAGTCCCACAAAGTGCCTGGCATTCTGCTCCCATCCAATTAAACACTGAAACGTGCTTAATTGCAGTTTGAGTCCAGGGAGACCATTTACTTGAGTAAGAGTAAGCAAGTGGATAAATTAGTTCTTACATCAAGGCACAGTGCTCAGCACCTGATGGCATCAATCCAGCTGTTTGTTATTGTGTTTTCAGATTACTCCAATTTATACTCTTCTGCCAAAGCCATTAAAGAGGCTGACATTTATTTTTGACTCTGCAGTTTCAGCATAAGTTACTTGCCAATGGAATTTGCCATTTAGGAGAATGAAGGGCAGTTTAGATTTCCCTTGAGGTGCATGATTATGATATTTGATCTATTTCCAATGTTAGTTTTGCCTGTTTTACTCTTTATACTGTTTGTGAAAAGCAAAGGAGAGCTTTTCCATGGGTAAACAATAGCTAATGCCCTTCAATAGGAAGCTAATGACATTACTGTCATCTAGCAGTGCTATGAATGCAAGAGAAAATGCCTTAATGTGTAATATTATCTGTCTAGACTTGCTAGTGCAGCCTCAGAGGAGGAAAAAAATATAGCCATGTAGGTGTTGTGGTCACCCAGGTGAAACATGAAATATACTGATGTGCAGATGGGGGAAGCTGCTACCCGTTCTCACTAAATACAGTATCTTAGCACAGAGTTGAGTATAAAGTGTTCTTTCTTAAATAACAGATTGTTCCTGAAGGAACAAAACCAGTAAAATCTGGTTTCCTAATGATTTTTATTCAGTGTCCCAGCACTTCCCAAGCCTGTCTGTTATGCCTTTTCATAGCACCCTGCAATCCCTCTCCTGTCCCAGCTCTCCTCGCCCTCCCACCCCCTCATTTCTCAGGCTCCCTCTCTGACCTGGGCAGAGCAGCGTGCGGGGTGATCGGCTGGCCAGTGTATGTGTACTTTTGGCCAGGCAGCTGCTGCTGGATAACAGCTGACTTCTTGCTTTTCCCTCAGTGGGGGCATTAAAGCCTGCTGCCAATTTTCACTAGACTTGTCAGAGATCAGAGTCTCTCTGGTGTCTAACCTCTCTGCTACATGTAGTGGAGACTGAGCAGTGGCTTCTAAATATACTTGTGCATTTACAGATGCCTTTTTTTCCTCAGGTAACTGGAATAATCAAGAAGTAAGACACTGAAAAAGGAGATTTTCTTTAAATCAGAGTACACAGTCATGTTTTAGCTGCATGGATGGTTCTGTGAGCATTAGATTTTCTTTAATGCTGCTTGTAAAAGTTGTGAAGATGGTAGTATTGTCTTCTTATTTTACTGCTTACCTAAACTGTGAAACAGAGTCTCACAAAAACCAGGTCTCAGCTGTTTGTTATACATCTCTTATTATGTATAGAAACATCATGTTATCAATGTCATCCCTCCATATTGTCCAAGGCTAGTGAGGTTTCTCTCCCCTATCCTTGTCCATAATGCTCAGAGGTGTCTGTCTTCCTCTGAAGGTAGAATTTCTTGCCTGCCTGCTATATACTGATATTCAGTACGGTTATCACTCTAATCCAAAATATGTAGCACTTGACTCTTCCTTGAAATACAATTTTATCTCACACATGAGTGTTTTCCTAACAGTTCTTTGATCGAGGGCGGAAGGTATCTTACAATGTACACCAAAATCATATAGTGTCTATTGAAACTGAAAGCAGACAAGGTCATTCAAGCTGGTTTAATGCGGCCTCTGTGGCAACAAATTCTTGAGGAATTTAGTTTTTCTTACTAAGAAGACTTTCTATCTTCAAATTGTTTATATGCTAAAAATGTGGCTGGAGCTGTTTTGTTTCTTGCTGTTCCCAGTGATTGTTCAAATCTCACTCGGGTTTTGATGTTGTGAGAACAAGTTGCTAGTATGTGGTGCATGTTTGATATAGTGGGTGAGATAAAGACCCTAGTGCCAGCCTATCTCTTGTTGAGCATCAACTGATGAAGTAACAAGGGGTGAAACTGTCCATGGGGAAAATATCTGTGCTATTCTGTCTGGAAGTAGAAATTTGTAATCCTGGACTTTCAATTTACTCTCTACCCACAGTAAATTCACACTGAGGATGTTAGGGCCTGGAAGAAGAGATCATTGATTCCTTTTCCAGGCTGGACAGAGGTAATTTTCTTAAGAAACAGTGATATCCTGGAGGGGAGTGCATTAGGTGTGTAAGTGCAAGCTGTCTGTCTGATTCTACCCTAATGGTGTGTGGCAGAGCAGAGACGATAGTAGTTTTGAGCTCGGTTATGGCTATTAGTCTACTGCACCTAGCTGGCTGTTCAAAAGTTGCAGAAATTAGTTTATAACTAGTTTTGTAAACTCTGTTTTTCCATGGTAATTTCTTTCCGAATTTTGATTCATGGGAGAGAATCTGAATACGTAATCCTTTCAAATCCTGGAAACTGTAGGTGGCACAAGGCTGGATGTTTGCATTGTTTTCTTTAGTGAATCTTAATGAAGAAAGGTCCTTTTACTTCGGGGAAAGGATGGGAACCAGAGCACTGAATTTCTCTTTGGTCTTTGTTTACTCCAAACTTGGGTTGTGAGGGATTTAACATAGTCTCTGGGGCTAACAATATATTCCTCTTTAGTTCCCTTCTGGTTTAGAAATCTTAATTTTGATCCACGTGTACAAAAGTATACAAAGGGAAATGCTTTAACATTTCTTAATGAATGCCTTATGCGTGAGTGTTAGTGTGGGTACGCTGTGACCCGCATGTAAGCACAGCAGCTTGGCTGTAGAGTTTATCAGTTCAAGGGGTGTCCCGGCTCCCCCGGCGCTTTTGGCAGGAAGCGTGTTATTTGCAACCGTGCAAAGGGAAGGGGCTTGTTTCTGTTACAAACCTCCGGGAGAAAACACTAGTGCAGATTAACATATTGCCTAATTTAAAAAAAACAAACAAAAACCGTTACAGTTTGTAACCAGCAGGACGACCCTAAGGAGAAGAGCCGCAGCCCCCGAACTCGGCGCTGAGGGGAGGCTGCGGGAAGCGGGGCGAGGG